TCAGGACAGGCTTCTCAACATGTGTTTCACCTTCACGAAAATGCTTTACAAAAAATTATTTTGAAATTCTAGTTTCTTAGGAATAAAACAAACCCTTATTGTAGTGTTTGTGTGCAGATATATTTATCCATTTAGCTTACCTGTAAAAAAAACAAAAAAAAAAAAAACAAAAAAAAAAAAACCAAAACTTAAAAAATAATTATACCACAGAAAATTTTCCAAGTGTTTATGTGTATTTCTATCTATATGACAAAGAACTTCCCAGAAGTTAACAAAAAATGCCTCTTATTAATATCCTTGATATTCATTCCATTCATTGTATTTACATGTTTTTATATTACTGTAACTTTTTCAATGTATTTTCCAAAACTGTTCTCTTTCTAAACTGTTCTACATTGAAGAAGTATCACAAAAACAACTCATGATATGATGAGACAAAAACAACTCACTTTTCAACATCAACTCAAGTGGAAAACCTTGCTTACAAAGAGTGATTATATGACCTCAGAGAGGTAACAGATATATATGCATATGTACCTGCTTGAATCTTAGGTGAGGCTGACCAAAGACTCACCAAATAAGATTATACTGAATACAGTTCTGAGATTGTTTGTAAACCCTTTGTATGGCAAAGAAGATGTTCTCATAGGATCATAGAATATTTTTGGTTGGAAAAGACCTTTAAAATCATCGAGTCCAACCATAAACCTAACACTGCCAAGTCCACCTCTAAGCACTACATCTACACGTCTTTTAAATACCTCCAGGGATGGTGACTCCACCACTTCCCTGGGCAGCCTGTTCCAATACTTGACAACCCTTTCAGTGAAAATATTTTCCTAATATCCAATCTAAACCTCCCCTGTCACAACTTGAGGCCCGTTCCTCTTGTCCTATCGCTTGTTACTTGGGAGAAGACACCAAGACCCACCTCACTACAACCTCCTTTCAAGTAGTTATAGAGAATGATAAGGTCTCCCCTCAGCCTCCTTTTCTCCAGACTAAACAACCCCAGTTCCCTCAGTCACTCCTCATAAGATTTCTGTTCTAGACTCTTCACCAGCTTCATTGCCCTTCTCAGAAATAACAATTGAAGAGCAATTATAGAATATAAAATAACTGATAAAGGGAATGAGAGAAGTTACTCAAAAAGAACTGAAAATCCTAGAAAAGTCTGATTGCTAAGAAATCTTCTGAGCCTTGTGAAACTGCAGATGGGCCTGTAGGACAAAGCAAGGTAATGCCTCAATTTCGAGAGAAAGAGACTGTAAGTGATGAACATACACTCGGTGTATGAGTGTGTTATATTTGCACACTCTTATACACCCTTTATAGCTTATATGTAGTTTGTATACTTTTTTTATTTTCACATCACTAATTATAAATGAGTACAACTCATTACTGGCTTAGTTGTGAGCTCCCACCTGAGAAGTCAATAACGTGGAGTGGCCAGCAGAGTTTCAACACTGCGTAGTCAAATGAAGTCTGACAAGGCCTCTAGCCCAGGGAGGCTAAAGCAAGATTTGTGATAGATAGAAAAACACTGGCAGTGACTGCCAACAAGGAACAGCAGCCAGCTCCCTTTATAGTCTTTTTCAAGAGGGCAAATGTCTTGTCTTTGTACATCAAGGAGAGAAGAATGACTTTAAGCTTTTGTCTCATCTTTCCCTCTGTTCTGCCAAAAATAATACCATTTGAATATGCCATTTTGCTGACTTCACAGTTTTCTAAGTGGGGAAGTGCATTGAAAGCCCTGACTGTCTGACATAACACTCCCTGCCTTCTGGGCTCAGGCTGAAGACTCAGTATTAGACCAGATCTGAGCAAGCTTGGCAGGAGGGTTGCAGTAGCGAGAGCAAGACTTGAGGAAAGTCGCTGACCAGCAGAAAAGCTAATAACAGCCAATTAGCCTCAATTATTACATGACACTTCTTTCTCCAATTAAAAATGTTAATTGAGATTAGTTAGCTATCGCTTGCTGTGCAAATAGAAGCATTTTTCAAGTGGGAACACATGGGGTCTGTCACGTGCCCAGTACCGCTCACTAACAAACATGATGATGTACTAAGTGTGTTTTAAGACAGGAGTGTTAGCACGCTGGAGAACAGGATTAAAGTTCAAAAATATCTCAACAGCTATCAGCCTGAGTAAAACAAGATGCAAAACAAGTAAAAAGTCTCACATTCAGATGGGAAATACTAGCTCCCTAAACAGAGCACAGGGAATATGTGGCTACAGAGCAATAAAGGAGGTGAAGTATTAGAAAGAATCGTTAAGCTGAACAAGGTCAAAAATGCACAACAATTTTCTGCAAGAAAAGCAAATATCAACCCTGAATGGATAAAGAAGAACAGAGTTCATTAAATGCATTAAGTAAACCCTTGTCTCTATGAAGAATATCTGATGGGAACAGGGTACCCAGTTTTGGGTGCTGTGCATCAGCAAAGATATGAGAAATTTGGTGGCAGAACAATAGCAAAGACAGAAGATCTAGGAAACTTTATATGAAGTAAAAAGAGGAGAAGCGTTGGTCTGAGAAAAGATATATCTGTCCTGAAATAGTGAAAGGACTGCTGAAAAATAGCAGGAAATTTGTCTTCCATATCCACATAATGGGTTTGAAATGCAACAAGGGAGATCAAGATTAGACATCAGGAAAATATGTGTGTAATAATCACCAGAAAAAAAAAATCATCTAGGGAGGGTGAAGCAGACACATTGGAGGTTTGTCTGACCTACTCCTAGAAACATCTGTCAGGAAGTAGGCTGTAGATATAGATGACCTTGCCTTGCGACATGAGAATAGATGAAATGAATTCTTAAAGTTTATTTCAGCCTTATTTCTATGACTATTTACACAAAAAGCTAGACTGTAACAGTCCTTCATTGGTTTTATGTTTTTCTAATAAGAAGGGCAAGCTTTTTTTATCACTATTTATTACTCTGAGAATGCAGATAGCATTGGCTAGACAGCTAAAATAAAAACCCAGGGGCACTGATGCATATATACTGTTTTGGGGTCCAAGAGTGTATCAGTGTACGCAGAATAAGGACTATAGTTAAAAGACATGTAGAAAGTGGTTCTAGTAATTAATTTACCCATGTCCAAAATGAAATTGGTCTGTACCAAAACAAAATCAACACCAAACCCCAGCAATCTAGCTAACATTATTCAAAGTTACTTGCTATTATGTGATACATGCTGTTCTATAAACAAGATTTATCCACAATGTCCTTTTCTTAAATTTACTGTAGTTACTTATGCAGGAATTTTGCTGACTACATTTTAAATTTGGCTCTGTCAGTGGCTGTACGTGAACTTGGGGGTTGCATTGTTGTACAATATTTCACTTGCACAGCAGCTGCACTGTCTGTTCAAGTTCACAGAGTATCAAATCCTAATTGCTTTTTTTCTGCATTAGGAAATACTACACACAGCGTTTCGTATCTTTAGCTTTAGTCTTACTTATAATATACTCTCAGATATCTATTAATGGTGTTAAGGAAATGCAAAGCATTTTTCATTTTGAAATTGATTACATAGTTCCATAATCTGGTTGCTTTTTTCTTTTAATATGGGCTACCATATGCACTGTTTTCCTAAAAAAAAAAAAAAAAAAAAAAAAAAAAAAAAAAAAAAGAAATGTAGAAAATAGCATGTAATTCATAGCAACTCAATAGAAAATTAAGAGGATTATAAGATTTTATTTTATAAGTACTGCATAGCACTTGATACCGTGGCTTTCTTGAACAGGAGGATTGAAATAAGCAGGTGTGGGAAGTTTTAATCGAATTAAGTTGCATGTGTTAAAATATATAACTAAAGATAAAGTGGGTTTTGACTTTACACATATGTAAAGGGAGGAAGACAGCATCGTTTACTGAAAAGCAGAGCACAGTTCATCTGATCATGCCTCTTGTTATAATTTTACATTGGTTTTATTCTATCTGGTAAAAAATAATAGAACCTTTTTTGGCTTTAGAGTCTGGACTTTATGATAGAAGGTGGTAAGGATTAAACAGGTTTCCTTTTCCTCTTTCCTGTATGTTGAACAGGTCCTGATACTGTTCTGGGCAGATCACCAGTAAAGAATTATTCTCCTTTGATTGAACCTGATGTTGCTTACCCAGAAGCTGTAAAGAGGAGGAAGGCAAGCAGAAGTCACTTATATAAGTAATGTTTTGTGGTCCTGGAGCTTGCTAGTATGTCTTTCACTTCTACTTTTATATCCATTTAGAGAACTTTGACTTTTAACCTGAATTAATATTTGAAATTAGATTGTAAAGTTTCTCTATGTTGAATTATTAAAGTAGAAAATACACAACAATGGAATAGAGAAAGTATATTTCTGTGATTCAGAATTAGTAACATATCCTCTGGTGAAACTACAGCTTTGAAGGATGTGTGGGTCTTCATTTAAAGATCACCCTTTCAGTTGGCGTGTTTATTTGAGCAGAAGAGAAACTGAGTGTGCAGTGAACAACAGCAAAGAAAGACCTAAAAGTAACTCAAAGAGCATAAAGCACGTTTGGCAGGTTTTGAACTCTGCGAAAGCCCTTCCAAAATATCTGGAAAATAGACAGGATTTTGACTTGCCTAACAAAGCCAGACTGGATGTTTCCAGGAAGTCTGGGAACTGTTCCGAGCTGGGCACCCAGGCACCCTGGCCTCTCTCCAATTTAAATGCCCAATTTACAGGCTCCTCTTTCTTTCCAAGAACTCTCCCTGACATTATGTGGAAGAAGTAGTTAATCTCTTGTTTATCATTCTTTAGATAATGCACAGCCTCCAAGAAAATGCTCAAAAACTCTCAACATTTCCATTAGCTGAGTGTCTGCTGGTAACATCTGGAAAAGTACATACGATTTCAAGAATGCAATCTAGCAGAATATGAAAACTGTCATCCTAAGAGAAAGCAATGTGCTCAGTTCCTTAATGCTGCTGTTTCCAGAGCCATATTCCAAACTGTACCTAGAAATTTTTAGAAGGGTGTTTTTACCTGTCTCATATACCGCTTCGGATACAGAGGTAAAGTGGTCTTCTACTGTATACTGTGCCAGTTGAAGTGTGTCCAAACCTCGAACTGAATCATTTCCTCTAGTCCAGTAAAACATAACATCATTGATGTTGTAACCCCCTGTAGCGATACACAAGCCAACAAAAGTGTTTATTTTACCCAATAATTAATTTGTGTCGAGCACACTTATGGTTCAGCTGTTTCTTATTTGTCTGAAAGTACAATTAGATATAAACAATGACTGGTTTTGGCAGAATGTAATGCCTGTTTGCAACAAAACTCCCAATAACATGCACAGTCTTATCATTTAAAAGCTGACTTTTTTGGAGGTGGTCTTTTTTATACCTTTTATTCTAGTATAGATGACTAATAAAAGAGATTAGTACCACATGGTATTCTAAAAGCAAAAACTATAAAGCTGTAAAGAAATATAGTTTTTACAAATTACAGCACGGTCACCATTTGGACCAAACATTAAGCGTGCCCTTCGGTGCATCCCAGGCTGCTGTTTCTCAATGCAATGCATTTGCTCCTCTTTCCATAGCAATGAAGAGGTGAGCAGAGCAGCGGGGCTCTGAGCTGGGCTTGGGTCCTCACTTGGGACCACATTTCGGCTTAGGAGCCGGGATGCTTCCCAAGGACACCAGCTTAGACACTGATGTTTCTGCCAGTTCCACAGCATGGCACGCTCCAGGGGCCCCAGGAGATTTCCTTTTAACCTTCAAACAGTAATTAGGAGCTGAGACAGGACATGAATCATCTATCAGAAAGCAACTGTATTTTGCACACACTTGTCAATATGCAGCACAATCATAGCTAAAATACCTCTGTAGCTTTTTCCCATTATATTAAAAGGCAGGCAATTTTCAGACTAGTGTATATGATTAATTCAAGATTATGTTAATGTAATTTACATGTTAACAGGGAGCATTTGAACATCTCCTTTAGCTTACTTAGATCAATCATTCTTCTATTTGACAGACTTACATTGTGCAAATTAATAGCTAAGCTTAGGGGACAGAAACACGAGTAGATTATTATTTTTAGACTCCAGTCAATTGTAAGTAAATTATAGTGTGAGACAGTATTGCAATACATTGCACAAGGGTATATGCTGCAAAAAGAACAAAGTTCTAGAATCACAGAAGAAGACAAGCATTAAAATAAAAAGAACATTTTAATATTTTTAAGTTAATGGCTTTAGTTCTTGCAATGACAAAAAAGAACTGATTCCCTACAGCCATTTAATGTAGGAAACACAGGAGTTCAGAAGTTTAATTTCAAGGAAAGACTGTGCTGGTTACCAATTAAAAGGACAATTTCACCTGGAAATTATTTCCCTAACCTGTTTCTTTAAACATAAATCTTGTTTTCACTATCACCGGCAGTTTTCTGAAAAGGTATCATGACCAGGAATCTCTGCTCACATTAAAGCAATTAAATAATATGGCTTAAGGATTTTGTCTCTATAAAATTTTAAAACATTTTATAACTAGTTAATTTCTGCTCACAGTATAAGTTAATTATTATTAACTATAAGTTAATTATTATTAATATAAAATATTAATTAGCAATCTCTGCTCATATTTATAGCTATTAAAGCCAAAACACTGCTGTGTCAAGAAACTAAGCTAACAGCATTAACGTCCAAGCTAAGTTCACAATTCCCTAAAACCTTATGCTGGGAAATTTCACAGATTTGGAAGATGAAAAATAAAAGTAATATTTCCTATAAACAAATGATTGCATTATTCTCAGTCAAAACAAAGAAGTTCATAGAAGCAGTTTTTATGCATAACTCCATTGCATGGATTCATTTTACTTTTCTTCAGTACAAATGAACTGCAGATGTATAAATAAAGTCCAAAGAACTACAGAGTATCACAGTAAACTCTTTTTTAATTTTCACAAGATATTGACTCTTACAAGTTGTGTGAGATGGGAAAAATTCTTGATGTCCGGATGGGTGATAACAAGCATATCTCCAAATGGAGGTTGTTCTGCTGTAATAGAACCATTTTTTGTTCCAAAATATTTCCATTAGCTGAACAATTAGTAGGTTTTGGTGATCCTTCCTATGAAAATTATTTGAAACTACTAATTCCTAAACTCTCATTTATGAAGAATTTTCATGAGGAGAGTCTTCCCAATAGTCAGTAAGTCAAATAGCACAGTGCTCCCTCTGTGCAAAGTTATTCTTTATTCAGGGGATTACTATTTTACTAATTATAAAATGTTTTAAAAGTTTATAGAGACAAAATCCTGAAGCCATGTTATTTGGCTTCTACAAGTAACCTCTACTCTCTTCACATGACAGTGAGTTTTCTTATTAACTAATTCCTCAAGCCCAAAATATCTCATTCCTGTACTTTGTTGAGACAGTACCAGCAGCTAATGTCAACAGGGTTAAGTACAGTAAATTTGGGATTAAACATTCATAATGCCTAATACAAATGAGTGTCTTTATATTTCTGTTGCTAACTTTAATTTCCCCTGATTGTCAAGCACAACTTAAGTGCCTTCACATGTCTCTTCACTGAATAAACGCTAAAGGACAAGTTCAAAAAGGAAACAGAATTTCAGAGATGAGCCCAATACATGAATACGTACTTGGACTGGAGACCTGTGTGTGGGGAAAAAAATGAGGAAAAAAGCCCTCAGCACGGTGTGAATGAATGGTGGTGTTCCATACCACGTGGCAGAGCCCATGAACCCCCCAGCAGCACCAGTCAATACAGGAGTCCTCCAAGTCCCCAAATGTCACACATGCCATTTCAACAAAGACTTAGAGTGGCATCTCTCTATCTCCTAACATATGCCTATACTACCTCTAAAGTGTTGCAATAACAGGGGGAAAAAAAATAGACATTTTTGTTGAAATGTATTTTGCTGTGTAGAAAGTATAAATTGATAAACATTATTAAATACTAGTAGCGGAATAGCTTGTTGTAAAGGCCACTAGGGATACTTCATCGTGTAAAGCCATTACTTGATAATATCATGTCATGTTTGTCTTTACATTAGTAATCACTTAATAAAAGGCTTAACACTTTGTTTCACCTCAAATATTTGCTATATAATTTATGTTTTATTTATAAATGTCACTATTTGTGTGGATGTGTATGTATCCTTCCATTCACAATTCCACATGACAGTATTTGCAAGCAGTATTCTGAGATTATGTCATTAGTCGTCTATAAATTGACACAGCTTATCTCATGAGGGGGAAAACACCATTTCAAGCATACCCAAAAGAAAATATTACAGTGCACCAAAGAAAAAGGGCCAC